CAATACCACCCAACCCAGCAAGACAGGGAGGTGTGGAATCTGACTCTGTGTGTTGAGCTGATGTTTAATAATTTTGAGCTGACATTTAATATCCCCCAGAGGAGGGTTGCACACCAGGCAGGTCAGCTCTGTGTGCTCAGGGCACTGCCACGTTGTCCTGCCTTTTCCCATGTACCACCAGGCTCCTCCCAAGGCCACATCAGAGCAGATGGGAAGCAGCATAACTGGAAGGGTGGGTCTTCAGGCTGCTGGAGAACTCAAAAAGTTTGTCTTCCACTATTCCAATATTATCAATGACTTGTGTAATGGTTTTGTGTGACTTCGTGCTAAAAGAAAATCTAAATAAAATTATTTACAATTTTTTTTTTCTTTTCTGTCATAGGTATAGAGCTTTCATTTTCTCTCTCACTTTCCTGCTGTATGCCAGCTTCCATCTATCAAGGAAGCCTATCAGTATAGTGAAGGTAAGAGAGGTGGTGTCCTTGTTTAAACATCCTCCTGCTCCTGTCAGACACGGATGTTGTTGTCTTTTTCAGTATTTCCTGTTGTGAAAGACAGGGTTAACCTTTAACTTGAAATGCCTTCAAGATGAGAGACTGATAAAGCTGGCTCACAGTGATATTTGCTTGATAAACTTTAGTGAGACCACACCTAGAATATTGCCTGTAAGTCTGGGGTTTGGGCTGGAAGCAGCTGTGTCTACAGATAATTAATGTGAATGAATCTAATTAGAGATATTTGAGAGGTTTGCATTCTTATGGTTGAGAAAAGTTGCTCTTAACTGATGAGTTAACATTCCAGTGGCATTTACAAGAGTGTTCCCAGTACTGCTCAGCATCATCGTCATCATTTTCTGTACCCTTGTGGCTGTTCCCAGTGAAGCTGATGACACAGATTCTCCAGTTCTGGGTTTGTAACTTTAATCTTCAGTGTTTATAACTTGCCAAACACAAACCAAATCCCCCAGTGCTGCATTGCATAAAACTGAGTAGTAGCAGTGGGCAAAGTACTTGATGTTATTTGTTACATTAAGTATTTGCCCACTGTTACTGCTCAAGTTCAAAGATTTTCACTGTCAGAAACACCAGTTCACTGTAGAATGTTTTTTCTAACCATGTAATGGTGGCTTCACCCAGTAAAATACCAAGCAATTAATAAGGGCCAGCAATTTTACTGATTTTGGTAGGTTTGACACAGGTACATATAAATTCAGAATTGTTAAATTTCTTGCTGTAGGAGAGTTATCAGTCCCCAGCTTGCAAGTGAATTTTCCATTTTCAAATGTCCTTTCTGTTTCAGGGAGAGCTGCATAAGCATTGTGCAAGTCAAGTTGAACTTGACTCCTACAAAGAATATGCTGCCCAGATCCAGCCTGTCAAAAAGCCATTTAATGCCTCTCAGTGTGGATGGGAGCCATTTGGTAAAGCTTGGCTTTCTTTGGCTTTGCATCTTTCTTTCCTAGTAATGATCTGATACTCATAATTCGATTATTAATTATTATATTCATAATTAACAATTTCTTCACATGTGAGGGATGTGCATGGAAGGGGTGTTTTGTTTTCCATGTCCTCATTGATTTCTCCACAGAAAGTGAAGTTGTGACTTGCCTTACAATTTTTTGCTACTTAAAGTCACTTAAACAAGTGATATTATTTTACTTGTTATATCTAAGAGATGGTTTCAGTAGATCCGTTTTCACTCAGAAAATGGGTTTTGTCTTTAGCCTGCATGCTTAGGAAAAAAGGGTATTTTATTCTTCCCAGAAGAATAAAATCAATTATTATAATTTTCTGCTTGTTTAATTCAATCAATCTTTTAAGTGAAATTACTTGGTGCTTATCTAAATTAGAACTTTGCAGAGTCCTTATCTGCCTGAAGGAATATATTTCTCAATTTTAATAAAGAAAAAGGGGAGACTTCATTGCAGGAGAGACTTAACAACTTACTGGATAGTTTATGAACCTGGCCTTTCACTTGAATAGAAAAAAATATTTGCCTACTGGACAACTAAATTTCAATTTAATTGTACTTGACTTTAAATGAGACTTTGAATCATTCCTTGACACTTTTATTGCTACCAGAAACAGTGAAACAGATTAGCCCATTCTGTCAATGTGCCAGTCCACCCCAGTCTGTGTAGCCATACATTCTAATTAGTTTTTAATTAGCAATTAAAAAAAAAAAAAAAAAAAAAAAAGTCCTGCTCTCTTCAAAGATAATTAAAGATCTGAGCTCTGGGGTTTCTGGGTTTCTGTGGACAAAATCCAATATATGAAGTCCTGCTGCAGGGTCTACTGAAAACATTCAATCCCCCATGTGGGATGCATTTAAACCTGGAGAATGTTTCTTGTCCTTTGACCAAGGGGAGATTGAGTTTGGTTGTCTGAAATATTGATTGACTTTTTAATGGAGACTTCTCAGCCTAAATTTCCTCCTTTTTCCATGGCCTTTATTGCCAAGCTACCCCTTTGGAATGGCTCTTAGACTTGTTCTTTCAGGTATTTTTCTGGCAAAGCTGTGAGTTTTACCAGAAAAACACTGGAGAAAGGAATTTGCTTTAATATCTGTGACTTCTTGCTCAAAGCCAATAGCAGTTGTGGCAATTTATTGCAAAATAAATGCACAAGCTGCCTGGGTATGAGCTCAAGTCTCTTGAGAGCTGACTTGGTGTTTCCATCAGGGTGGAGCCCCTTTGCTCCCTGTCCTGTCTGCAGTTCCCATTTAGGTGTGATTATGGTTGTTTGCTCTGCAGGGCAGAACTGCAGGGTTTTTTTAAACAGAGCTCTGTGCTTTGTGAATAGTTGGAAAATGAGATGCAAAAGGCTTAAAAAAAAAAAACTTAATATTTTAAATATTTAAATAACTTAATATTTTTTAAAATATATAAAGCTTATTGTTTAAAAGTCTCTATGATGGTGGATTTTTTTTTAGACATTTTGACAATTAAGACCTCATGCTTTTGCAACTCATCTTACCACTTCTAATCAAGCCTGTTAAATTGGATTTTGAATTTTCTTTTGCCTAAGGCCTTTTAAGAAAAGGGCACCTTGCTAATAACTGATGTTTCTTCTCTTCCAAAATGCTGTTTTAAATAAGGTACAGTTTAGGATGGACCTACCAATATTTTCCTAATATGTTGGAGGCCAAAGGGTATATTTTTTTTGTTAAATAAAACATTGGCAGAATGTTTGCTGAAGTCGAAATATGCCTATTGAAAATTGAATGTCAGTGCACATTCAGTAACTTTTTTCTTGTTATATGTAAAAATGGTTAGGAAGTAATTAGTACATTTAAAGTGATGATTTGTTTTGAAAATTTTTTAGATAAGAGCAACTACAAACAGCTGCTGGGAGCACTGGATTACTCATTTTTGTGTGCATATGCAGTTGGGATGTATTTAAGGTAAAACCCCACTCTCTTTGATGTTTAATTATGGTTGTTTGACTTTTGTGATACTGTGCTTTCCTGCTGCAGAGGTTCTGATGGAGAGTGAGAAGTTGATTGCTGAGGGCAAAAAACCCAGCATGATTCTGAGCCCCAGTGGTATCAATCTCTGATACACTGAAAGATTTTTACCTGCACCAATCTTGACTGCCTCGTGCAGGAATATTTTCCAGGTTGAAGTCTAGCCTGTTTTTTTTTCATCTAGAATGTTAATGAATCAGTCAATGAATCTCCAGTCAGTCTCTAAATTGCACTGATTGGGTTAAAATGATTGTCCTGGCTTTTTTGGTCAAAGAATGGGAGCAGACAACTCCTAAAAATAATACCAAATCCATCCTGAAGTGTGCAGTCTTAGCTGCTGTTTGGAGATGCTTTTTTTTATTGACTAAGCCAGAACCTTCATGACTCGAGTTGTTAGCAAGGGAGACAAGTCTCACTTTCAATGGCTGGAGACACATAATTTGGAAAATGACTCTGTAAGTAAGTGACTTTGAATGTGCTCCAGATGAGTATCTTCCTGAAAGATGCTTGTGCAGATGTCAGAACTTAGCAATTAATGAACTTGAAGTGTTTTGTTATGTTTTTTTTTCCCTCTATCAAGTGCTAAAAATGGCTGTTTTGCTGCTGCTAAGGCAAGCAGAAGTTACCAGCGGAGGTTCTCCTCAACCAGAGTTAAACAACACAAAATATCCTTTATTTGTGAGGGCTTTTGGGGTGTGATCTCATTTTTAATGATGGCTTTTCTCTCTGTTTCCTCCCCTGTTCCAAGTGGACTCATCGGAGAGCGGCT